GCCATGCTTCATTTGCATAATTAATCAATACACTGTGCTTCATTTGCATAATTAATTAATAGCCACTTTTGCAAAAGAGGCTTTTGCGCAAAAAGGACCTGTGTAGACGGGTCCTTTTTGCACAAAAACCCCCTCTTGCGCAAGAACTGTTCTTCCTGAAAAAATGAGGAAGAATGGCTCTTGTGCAAGAGAGTTTTTTTGCGCAAAAAGGAGCCATCTACAGAGCTCCTTTTTGTGCAAAAGCCTCTTGCGCAAAAAAGGCTGCTAATTAATTATGCAAATTAAGCGTGGCAATATTCTACTCCGCACTTCATTTGCATAAGCTTTTGCAAAAGATGGCTGCAGTATAGATGTAGCCTTTGGGAGGTGGATAGCTGATAGGACAATGCTTCCCGTTGTCATAGATAGCATGTACACTGAAGTGCTACCGCACTGTGGTGCATCTGCAATGGTGCAGCTGTAACGTTTTATGTGCAGACAAGCCCTCAGCTAAGACTGGATGGCTTTCCAAAAGATATGTACCTGTTTAATCAAAGTTCTGAGACTTGATGCAGGAATCCATGAGTGAAATTCGGCGGCTTGTGTTTTGTAGATCAATTGAGATTATCAGTGGTCCCTTCTGTCTTTATAATCTAAAAATGTAATGTTATCTGGGGTTCCAAACAGCAAATCCTTATTCTGAGCATAGTGATTGCTACACTGAGTAATACAGCTTGAACCACAGATGTTGCCAAATCAGAGACCCTTCTCGGCTGAGTCTAGTGGCAAGATGGCTGGTGTCCAGCAGCCTGGCTGGGTCCGACAGTCTAGCAGGGCTGGCAATATGGGGGCTGGCCAGATCTGGTAGCGTGGCAGGATGGAAGTGGAGCCAGCAGCCAGGGGGTGGTAGCTGGCACCAGGAGCATAGCAAGGCTTGGGGAGGCTGGTGGCTGGGAGGCCAGAATTGACCTCCCCTGGTCCAGCAAACTCCTTGTTTGGGACCAACCTGGTCCCAAGCATGCCAGACCAGACAGATCCAACCTGTCCTAAGGATGTTAACTAACGAGTAATTTACTAGTTGAGTAGTCGATGGAATTTCCATTGACTACTCGACTAGTCGATAGGCCCCGCTGGGGCTCTTGTACATTTCAAAGGAGGAATGTGGAACTCCGCGTGCAGCCCAGGGCCAGGGAGAAGTCCCGCTGACTCCAGGCTCCACGAGGGCACTTACTCTTTGAAATGCACGAGAGTCCATGTGGCATTTCAAAGCGGAAGCACCCTTATGGAGCCTGGGGTCAGCGGGGGACCCTTTGAAATGCTGCAGGGAGCCTGGGGTCAGCTAGGGAGTTCCCAGCTGACCCCGGGCTCCACATGGTACTGCCGCTTTAAAACGCCAAGGCGGCATTTCAGAGGAGCAGTGCCACAGAGCCCGTTGCAACGTTTCAATGTGGCAGTGCCACACGGAGCCCTGGGCCGGGCTCTATGTGGTGCTACCCCTTTGAAGTACCCTCTCTTCTCTCCCCCCGCCTTTGCTGCCTCTGATAGAGGCAGCAAGGGGGGAGAGAATCGACTAGTCGACTCGTCTATCTGATAACCATTTGCTTATCGTATAGTCGAGGAGTCCTTAACATTCTTAACCTGTACTGTTATTTTATCAACACTACATTTGATTGGAAGCACTTCTAGGATCAAGCCTTTAGGGCCAAGTCTACACTATGGCCATTTTCCCAAAAAAAAACTTCACTTAAGTCCACACTTAATCATGTTCTTTTGAAAAAAAATCAAAAGAACAGAGGGGTTTTCCCGACATTGGTAAACCTCTTTCTATGAGGAAGAAGCCTTTTTCCCAACAGAGCTCTTTGAGAAAAGGCGTACGTAGACGGGGAAGAGGGAGTTCTTTTGAAAGAAGAGGAAAGAGGAAAAAGCACAGGTGCCCTGGTGGCGACTCCATCCACAGTGAGCACAGCTTAAATGCGAGAGAGCGTCCATTCAGCGTGGACGTTATTTGTTGAAAAGGCAGATCGCTTTGTCGATGTGCTTTGGCAGTGCAGGCGCTCTCTTTCAGAAGAAGTTTTTTCAGAAGATCTTTTCTGGAAAAGCTTCTTCCAAAAGAAGCCTGCAGTCTAGACATAGCCTAGATTTAAGTGGGGTTCTATTGTTTTTTCCCCAAATTTCAATTTTGGCCATGTCAATGCACACCATTGCTTTTGCAGTTCTTAAGCATTACCCAGAGTTTATTTTATTTTAGAATCGTATTTAAAAAACTCAACATACAGCTAGTTATGGAATTTTCAAAGAAATTAATGACTGCAAAATGTTGAAAAAAACCCAGAAATTGCTTGGGATTCACCCCTTTTTTTCAGGGAATTATATTTTCATGCTTGTTTTTCTTTTTGTCATCACAAAATGCCAGATTTTCAGAAATGATCCACCCGCTATATTTGATAGAATAACTTTGCCGAATCGAATGTGCTGAAAGAAAACAATGGTATAAAAACCCAAAGATCCCACCAAATTCTTTCCATCTTCAAATATCCATATCAGACATGATTATCCTTATTTAACAGATGGAGAAACAGGCAAAGAGCTTAAGGCCAAGAATTTCAAACACGGTGGTTGAATCTGAGTGTCCCAGTGCTCAATGTGAGCTATTTTAAGATTTTCAGAAAGCCTTTAATACCTGCCCTCTGAAAATCAGGCCTTTTAACGAGACTCAAGTTGGGCATGCACAAATTGTGAGCCTCTTTAGAGGCCAATGTTTTCACTGTGAGTTCTTCTATCTGCTTTGGGGGACAAATTCATTTCTGAAAAACCTCGGGAAAAGGTCATTAATGAAAAACAGACAAGTAAAACAGCTGGGGTTCAAGGACTATCCCAGTACTTTTCAGGTTCAGTTTTTATTCACCTTAATTGATTTCAATATTTTATTTGGGAAAAAAAATCGGTTTTGTTCAGGGGCATACGAAGCCACTGCAGTAGCAAGTACATTCATATAAAGGCCCACAAAAGTTCTCCTTTTGGCCCCAGTGGTGGAGCTGAGAGGGAGGAAATGCTTTGAAGTGGAGCTGTTGCACAACCAGTGGAAACAAGGAAAACCTGCAAGCCTGCGAAGGCTGTACAGTAGGCCCCTTAAAACAATAGGGTCTCATGTGACCACTTGTTTCTACTTGAACTATGGACAAACCTGGTATTAACAGTCAGCAGAATATTTTACCTAGAAATGGGCCTGCATCACACCGTTTCACCCAGGTTTTGAATGCTCAGTGTCTGTGGCATGAAAGGATTCAGGCACAGGTTGTTGAGACAGATTGCAACTAGCCCAGGCTAGGCAAATATCGGCCTGATTCAGTCTGCCAGGATTAGCCCCTGGTGGGCCACCATTGTTATATTTATCTGCGCCTCCACAGGTCCCAGCAATCTCCTAATGGCTGCAATCCTCCACTTACCTTTGCCTTTGCATTCACTTAGGATTTCTTTCGTTACTTGGTAGCTTCTATTTATGTAGGTGTCATAAGACTCTGAAACCACTAATTTGCTGACTGGTATATGAGGTCTACAGGCAGAAAAACAAACAGAACATTTTATGTGAGAGAGAAGATTTTGAATGCAAGTTACTTAGGCCCTGTACCCAGGGTGACTGAAAGCATATATGTCAATGCCCATGTGTCACACAAGAGCTCCCACTGTTTTTCTAAATAACTCAACCCCTTAGACTTCATTATTTGTGTAAGGATCCCTTTCATAGGAGTTGAACCTTAGACTTCATGCACCCATGTACGGCCTATCGCTTGAGCCCTGTCTCCTCTTTCTACCCCAGGACATGAGAAACTCCCACTGGTGTCAGAGGAAATCTTTCATCGCCTACAGCAGTAGACTAAAGCTCCAGGCATTTCACCCAATCCTCTAGTTTAACCATCAGACTGGTTTCCTTTTTTGTTAGGAGAATATACTTTATATTCTTCCATGAAGCTTTATGTTTCCTGAACCGGTTATTTTCCTGTGGTCCCACTGTTTTGCATAGAGCTGGCAATGTGATACCCTTTTGGGGATAAGTGCAGTGTTAAGTATCTCTATTTAGGTGCAACATGCACCATGACCATATATTTCCACAGACCCAAAAAGTTAATTTGTAGGCAGGGAGGACAAAATATAAGCAGCTGGATGGTATAATTAGCCCCGAATGCTTACAAAGGCTTTTTGCTTTGGTTGCTTTATTTCTACTTGGTCATCCTAAAATAGAGAGTCGCTCTGGTGTAATGGAAGGATTCAGGGTTTCTGATGATATGGCAAGCCACAAAAAGCAGCTTCAGTGTAAGTTGTCACCAAACCCCAATGTGTTGAAATTTCCTGTGTTATGTTATTTATAAGGTGGGAATGTTTTTACCTGAGGCCTTTGGGTTTGCATTTAATATCCGTCCTCTCAAAAACTGCTGATGAGAATTCACAATAATCCTGAGATTTCACTAATGTGATTGTGTGTTGACCAAGACCACATGACATTTCCCTAGAATGTAGCTCTCTGGGATTTTTCAGAAGCTGTTTAGTATAAATGAATCACAGATTTGGAGGCAGGGCAAACCCAGGGGGTCATCTTGTCTATTCTTTAACTTCTTGTGTGATATCGGGGACTATTCCTACCAAGCTGTTTTATTTAGCCTCTCTGTGCTTACAGCACAGATAGGCACTGAGCATGTGTCTGTGTCCTCACATTTTGAACAGAAATTCCCTTGGTATGAGCGGGGAGCTGTGATTTGCAATTGCTGAGAATGTGAGGCTAAATACAATGGTATTCAACAGCAGAAGCTGCTGACACCAAAGGGGTTAATAGAGTTTTAAAAGAGCTGGCTTAGGAGTTTACTGGACTGTCAATTGTTGATTTTTCAAAAAGTCTTGGAGCATCAGGGAAGTTTCAGAAGACAAAAAAAGAACAAAAACAAAACAAAACAAACAAAAAACCTCATAGTGTGCCAATGTTTTAAAAGTTTAGAATTAAAAAGATTAGAAATGATCAGAAACTTTCCATCAAAATCCTTATTTGAGGGGAAAATGGTTTTTCAGTTAGAAGAAAATGTAAATGAAAACTTTTCTGGCTTCATCATTAATTTGAGTTTTTGTAGAAAACTCTATTACTAAAACATTTTCAGTCTAGTATATGGAAAATTTTAAACTGAAAATGTTCAGCTTTTGGTTGCTGAAAAGTAGAAGTGATGTTTGTTTTCAGGCTTTTTGATGAATATCTCAATTCTGATGAAAACAATTTTTTTTAAAATAAACCTGTTGTTGAATTTTTTCACCAGGTGGGGATACAAAGCCTTCATCTCACCAGTCATAAAGGATCCTTCACTCAGAGCAGCCTTTGAGGATTTAGCAGTTAATGTCTAGGTTCCCCTGATGGAAGGCACAAAGATCAGTGCTTACCCTTAAGTAGTATTAACATCTCACCTGTGTTTTGTACATGTACAGATAAAAAAAGGAAACTGGAGTTGGCTCTAAGGCCTCAGGAGACAGTCATGGGGGAAAAGGGCCTTCTCTATTAAGAGTTTCATTTGCAACAATATTGAAAGTTTAAAAAACCATATGTGTTCTGCATTTGTTCCAGTAACATTTTAATACCCACTTTGGGGAATGTGAGCTTTTTGGAAGGGAAACTGAAAACTTATCTGGCACTTTATACCTGGCAGTGTCAAATGTGGGTATGAAAAACAGGAATGTGGGACCACTGCAGGGGCTTCTTATGTTGATTAACCATTAACTTAACAATTCTTGTGGACTTTGTCTGCTGTCCCAGCCACAATGAAATAGTAGCCCAGGAAGGAAGTACAAACACCAGGGGAAAATTGAAAATTGCGGGCCAGTTCGTCCGCTGGTGTAAATTGGTACAAAACTATGCTGATTTATACCAACTAAGGATATGGGCCTAAAATAGAGGTGTCATGGGGATGGACAAAGGCAAGAGTGTTGTTGGGACCAGCGTCCTGTGAAGAGATGGCTAGGATGAAACAGTGAGTGACTGGTCTCAGCTGGCTGCCACCTGGATAGGGCAGGGCTACCTGAGGGGGAAGACAATGACAGCACTGGGAGTGGAAAGACGACAAAAGTCTATCCCAAAGAGGCCTTGAAATATTGGTGGATGCTAACTTGTTCCTCAGCATGTTGCCAAGTGTAAAATAAGGGCTCCAACCATGCAGTCAATACCCAAATCCATACCCAAGATTTGCATCAGTAGTATAGGTAAGTGTGAGTGAGGTAATGAATTAGCTAGTCCAGGCTATCAATGCCCCACACAGAACCAACTCCATTCAACTAGCAGAGGTGGGTGAGCCCAGGCAGCAGAGTTCCAATCCCAACATTCTGAAATGTGGTGAGAAATGCAGAGCTACACCCTGGTCCATAAAATGCCCCACCTTGCACAGCTCAGCAGCACTGATGGGGCATATGAGGATTCCACAGGAATGGGGGAATCCTAGCTCCAGGGGCAGAGTTTATCAAGGACAGATCTAGTGTTCTAGTGAGTCCTGCTTTCTAGGACACCATTACTAGCAAGTGCAAATTAGAGCAGACCCGAGCCTGCTCTAATGTAGGCTGGGAATGCCTAGCAGCCCTAGGGACTGTACAAAGGGGTATGAAGATGGCCAACAGCTCATCCAGAAGGCAGGTTTAGTCCCTGTATTTTGTTCCTTCTCTCCTCAGCATTAAATGAAAGATTATTCATTGCTAAGGAAACTCTATGAGAGTGACATGTCCCAAGTTCAGCTACCTGTAGGCTGTGTCAACACACAGATTGGCTGCAGCTAAATCCACTGTAGGTATCCAGGCAGGTAATGTAGTACCAGAGACCCATTTTGTCCACTCAAATAAGCCTGGTTCTACTCGAATCTTCAAGTTATTTTCTTGTTGCAAACCTGAAAGAAAAAGAAAAAAAAAATATGGGAAATCCTTGGAAGCATGGGAAAGGCCTGGGGACAAGAGGATTTAGGATTGGGGTGAGGTTTTTGGCCAGTTTGTTGTATTTTGATTAGTAATCAATACATGGTTCTACTGGTTGAGGTTGGAAGCCACAGCTCCATATGTAAAAACTCCAGTATTTGCTTGTTCATATGTGAATTTCAGGTGCATGTGCCACTTAGGTGCACAGAACTACAGACAGTGATAGAAATGTAGCCGTGTTAGTCTGGGGTAGCTGAAACAAAATACAGGACTATGTAGCACTTTAAAGACTAACAAGATGGTTTATTGGGTCTGGCCCAAGAAAACTCATCATCCAATAAACATCTTGTTAGTCTTTAAAGTGCTACGTAGTCCTGTATTTTGTTAGAACTACAGATGTGCCCCTAGTCTAGATAAAGCTTTGTATTTTGCATGGACTGTTATGTTCTAAATGGTCGAAGGGTTCAGAGGCGATAAGTAGGCTGAGGGCTCTGAACAGAACAATGGCAGGTCCGTGCACGCCTTACACTACCATTGACAAAGGAGCTAATGTGTTAGCCTTTGCTTTCCTATGCAGCAGCATCTTTCTTGATAACATCAGCATTGTTTACTGGTGAAAGACCAGCAGGGGGAGCACACACTTCCCGTACTTCGGAGCATCTGCGTTGGGATGGTGACGTTAAAGGGGATGTATTGAACACTAAATATACGTATAGCGTACCATACGAAAGATGTATTTGGGTACCGTGGAAAGGTGTAATAACCCTCACCTCTCTAAGGCTCACCTATAAACTACAAGGCAGTGTTAAGGGCTCCAGCGTGGTAGGTACTTGTTCAAACATATACCAGAAAGGCAGGCCCTGCCCTGAAGAATCTGCAGTCTAAGCAGTATGCCCCAATCTTGGGCTTACCCACAGCACTCATGCACAATTAATGCCTAATGAGACTATAATCAAAGGAAGGCAGCTATCTGCAGAGGGCTTTGCTTAGTTGAAAAGCATATGCCCATGAATGTGGCCCACAACCCGTCTCCCACAAATACGCCCTGTAATACTCCGTACACTGGTATGTGCTCAGTTGCTCACACATGATTTAGGCCAGGGCAGTGGCTCTCAACCTTTCCCAACCACTGTACCCCTTCCAGGGGCCTGATTTGTCTTGCATACCCCCACGTTTCTTCTCATTTAAAAACTACTTGCTTAATAAAATCAGACATAAAAGCACAAGTGTCACAGCACTGACAAATAGCTGACTTCCTTTTGTTATAAATCAACAGGACTATAAATATCAATTAGAATATAAATATACACATTTCAGTATATCGCATATACAGCAGTATAAACAAGATGTATGTTGTATGAAATTTTAGTTTGTATTGATTTTTCTAGCACTTTTTGTGTAGCCTGTTGTCAAGCCAGACAAATATCGGGGGGTATGTCTACACTACCCCGCTAGTTCAAACTAGCGGGGTAATGTATGCATACCGAACTTGCTAATGAAGCCCGGGATTTGAATTTCCCGGGCTTCATTAGCATAAAGCCAGCGCCGCCATTTTTAAAAGCCGGCTAGTGCGACCCCCGTGCCGCGCGGCTACACGTGGCACGGGCTAGATAGTTCGAACTACGCAGCCATTCCGAACTATCTGTACTCCTCGTTCCACGGGGAGTACACGGGGTTCGCACTAGCCGGCTTTTTAAAATGGCGGCGCCGGCTTTATGCTAATGAAGCCCGGGAAATTCAAATCCTGGGCTTCATTAGCAAGTTCGGTATGCATACATTACCCCGCTAGTTCGAACTAGCGGGGTAGTGTAGACATACCCTGGATGAGTTGATGTACCAGCTCCTGGGGAGGGTTTCTGTGTGCCCCTAGGGGTATTTGCACCACTGACGTAGGTCACTGGAAGTTGTTGGATTGAGAACAATGCAGTGTTAGTCAGGGCACTTGGACATGGGCACTACCATATGAAAACAAGCCATTGACCCACATAGCTTGTCTCCAGACTTCAGTGAAAGCCTCATATTGAGCCTGACTCCTAAGCAATGCTATGCAATGTAAGAGAGGAAAGAAAATTCATTTCCTGCCTCAGTTTGTAGTTGCCTCATGTCCCAAGTATAAGGGTCATAATACCTAATAATTTAACCTGTATGGTTCAGGGAAGAAGGGTGCTATATTTTTGAGGCCTTTGATTGGAACAAAGGGGGTTCCTTTGTTGGCTTTCCCAGAAAACAGGAAAATTCCAGACTCTCCCACTTGTCTGCTTCTTACCTTTCAGAATATTGTGTGCTGTCTGTACGCATCGCAGCGACGGGGAACAGTAGATGTGGTCAACCACTGTGTTACTTTCAAGCAAGGCTTCACCTGCAAGCACAGGTTTTGCAGCACTGATACGACTGGAAATCACAGTAATTGCAGCATGTGCACTTAAATGTATTCGTAACACAACAGGAAGCTAACAAAGCTCTCCAGTTGGACTGGTTATTTTTTGTAGACCTGTTTATCCATCAGCTTTCATTTTAGTGTGTGTTGTGCAGACAGTTGTGAAATGGATCCATTTTTCTGTGTACTGTCCTTTTCAGGACAGACTCACCCATACTGTGCTCTCTCCTGGTGACTTGATTCTAGTCCCTTTTAGTAGTCTCTATTTTAGATTACCCTCCTACACTGAAAACATGTATTTGTTCTTTATCCATGGGGAAAATAAAACAGGCCACAGTCTCATTTCATTTATACTCATGTAAATCAGGAATCTACTTAACTCATTAGTCCAGAGCCTCATCTGCTGCAAATTACCATGGCTCCAGGATCTAATGTGGATGGGCAGGGATAGTGTCCCTAGTCTCTGTTTGTCCGAAACTGGGAATGGGTGACAGGGGAAGCATCACTTGATCCCTGGTCTGTCCCTTCCTTCTGGGGCACCTGGCATTGGCCACTGTCGGCAGACAGGACCCTGAGCTAGATGGACCTTTGGTCTGACCCAGTCTGGCCGTTCTTATGTTCTAACTTAGGTAACCTGGTGTAAACCAGTGATGGTAAGATAACAATCAGGCCCAATATTATGATTATTTATATTACAGTAGTGCCTCAGGGAATCCATTGTGCAAGCTGCTGTTCATTCTCATAGTAAAAGATGGTCCCTGCCCTATAAAAAGCTATACTTTAAATAGATAGGGGCGAGAAATGGAGGGAGAATACTTTGTTAAATGTTTAATTATAATTGTACGTCTGTCTAACTGTTTTTTTTTAACCTTTGGGAGTGTGCAGCTGAAATAGAGGTGTATGGAAATCTTTCACCACTTCTTTCTGAGCTGTCCTTTTGCTAACCATATCAGAGGAGTGTTGGAAATGATAGCTCTTGGGCCTCTTCATGGTCACACTAGCATTTATGCAGCACAGAGCTTTCGCCTGTAGATGGCAGGCGTGCTGTAACCGTGCTAACGGGCTCTGTTATGTAGGGTAGTGTTGGTTGTATATATATTTCTCTCACTTGGATCCTAATTCATAGAGCCAGCAAACTGTTCTCATTGCTTACAAATTAGTATTAGTTCTATGAGCTTAGGGTTTACTGACCTTCCTTGAGAACTGCCCCTGCAGTCTGACCAGACTCTTACTATCCTCTCTTTTTTATTTAAAAAGCCTAATTTTTTCCATGTGTGTAGTAATCTTGGGTGCTTCGGTCTGTGAGTGCCCAACATGAGCTGCCTTGTAGAGGCCTGAAGTTCAGAAAGTACTCTGAAAATCAGATCCTTAAAGATCTCTCACGTCAGGTAAACCAAAATCTGTTACATTTCCAAGGGTTGTTCCTGCACTCGGTAAATAACATACTCTGTAAAAGTCGAGTGATGGAAGCCTATATATGATTGCCTTTATGAAGCAGGCCAAGAACAGAAAGGGGATGATGCCTGATTTGACTTGAGCTATATTTGGCAGTATAAATACGAACCCCACTGGGGAGATAAAATAACATTTGTGCTGCAAACTCCAGACCCAAAATGAAGCTTGTCAAAATCAAGTCAGGAACATATTTTGCATACAGCAATTGTCATGGTAACTGCAGCCGTTCACTACCATCATTATCAACAATCTTCTAGTATGGCAAACTTATAGGGCACTTTTATGTGCTATGCAGCTGCATATCTAATTGCTTTGATTTTGTGCATTGTTCTTCCTGCCGCAGTAGCTACTGAATGGGGCCAGGCTGACTTTAAAGGAAGTTCTTTACTAACTGAATTGAGGAAATTTTTTGAAGGCTGGTCTTGACTTCTCTAAACTCTTTTACCCCCCGGCATCTGATTGAATTTTTCCGCATTGCACTTGCTCTTTCTTTTCTTGCATGTGGGAGAGGAGATATAAATGCTCCTTGTGCAAATCAGCGGACGAGAGCTTACCAACAAGTCTTGCTTGTGTGCAACCAAACACGGTGATTGGTGCATCTTTTTCATAATCTCTGAAACCACCACTTCTTTGAGGTAAGCTGTGAGGCATATTCAGGTTTGTACGCATATATCTTCCTGTTAGGGGAAAGTTTAGAAGCAGGTGTTGGAATTAGTGGATGATTGAGAAAAACACTCAGCATGATTCATGCCCATAACAGCCCTTCATTCACAGCAACCAAACACGGTGATTGGTGCATCTTTTTCATAATCTCTGAAACCACCACTTCTTTGAGGTAAGCTGTGAGGCATATTCAGGTTTGTACGCATATATCTTCCTGTTAGGGGAAAGTTTAGAAGCAGGTGTTGGAATTAGTGGATGATTGAGAAAAACACTCAGCATGATTCATGCCCATAACAGCCCTTCATTCACAACAGCTTGCACACAACAGATGTTAACCTGAACTGGGTGGGACCTCCTAGAATTCCAAAACTTTTCCTGTTCCAAATCAGGAGGAACTGTTTCATGGCAATTTTCAGGATTTCCACAGCAATCTGAGAACAATTTCAGTTCGGGCCAATTGAAATGTTTCATTTTCATTTCATATCAAAATAGTTTAATTATATTATTTTGACTTTTTAAACTTTTAATATTTTAAATCATACTTAGTTTCATTTTTTAAATGAAAAGTAATTGGGATTTTTTTTTGTTTAAAAAATGTCAGGAACAGGAGTTTTTGACACTTTCAAGTTTTCTTCAAACTTTTTTCTTAAAAGATAAGGTGCAGCTGTCTCTGTCTCTCAAGCAGGGTTAGTTTCAGCAAATCAATATTTTCTGATGGGGGAAAAAAATCATTGAATACATTTCAAACATCTCGGGTGCTAACTATGCCTGAAATTGCTATGGGTCACTTATTACGATCAGGAATACTAAGGCTTTGTCTATATTGTGGAATTGCCCCAATGGCAGTCATCAGTCACCACCCATTAGCATTGCTGCAAATCCTAGTGAGACAAGGCAAACTATTCTAAGTTGTGTTTTGCTCTTGTGTCATTGACTCTGGCTTCATTTAGGGTTAAGAGCTACCAGTGAAGAGAGTGACTTTGCCTGTCTGCACTAAGAGTTTGTATTGGGCCCCAATTGCTGGGTTGCCAATGGCTAAACCCAAGGCATATCCCTGGGGTAGGAATGGCTTTAGCTTACACATAAGAAGGATTATGGAGAGGTTTTGTTTCAGGGAGACGGTTTATTCAGATGATTTCCCATTCCAACTGCAAGGGCAGACCAATGGGGTCAAGCATAGTATTTATTCAGCCAGCACATGCCCGTCCTCACTTTGTATTGTAGTCTGTGACTACTGCCACTGCACTATGAATGTGGATGGACAGATTGATTGATTGCCTAATCCTGCTATGATACATTGCTACTTTGGGCTTGTCTTCATTACACAGTGGACCAACTCTGCAGCAATTGATCCATCAGTGGTCGATTTATTGCGTCTGCTTAGAAGCAATAAATCAATCTCTGAGCACTCTCCCATCAACTCTGGTAATCCACCAGGACAAAAAGAGAAGCCAGAGAGCAGCCCCCACCAACCTTACCACATGGAAGAGACCACAGTAAGTACACAGACTTCAGCTACCTCATTCATGTAGCTGATGTTGTGTAGCTTACATCCACCAGGGGAAAGAGGGGAGTAAAGACTAGGCCATAATCAAAGGCTTAATTCAAGACCGCGGAGAAGGAGCAGATATGCTGATATTTCACACTTTCCCTTTCCTGGCCACTTAAGAGTGTCAAAATGGTATCTCCATTAGCCTCCCCCTATAAGTTTGAGTTTGCTCAGGAGACAATCAACTTGAGCTTTTCTTGTGCATTTTCTACCCTCCTCTCCACTCCAAAAGCTCCTGCAGCAATTGACTCACCTTTGGCATCAAAACACTGGGACAACCAGTACTTTCCAAACACAACATCCATTCTCTCCCCATGCCGGCAGACAAAAAGGAATCGTTTTTGAGGCCCTGGCTGGCTGGTTACTCTCAGGGGCTGAAAGCAAAGTGACAGGATGTTTGGCCATGATGAAAATCCAAGTGCCTTTCCTTTAGTTCCAGTTTATTAAGGAGTAAGGACCTGACTCTTGACTTAATTATAGTATAAACAAATGGCACTGGCAATTCCACCGAAGTAAATATTGTAGACCAGTGTAAATGTGGTGTACATGAAAGAAGAATAAGACCCTACGGTATTCTGAGGACAGATGTGATCTTGTGAGTGTGTGGTCTGTAATGTTACCTTAAAGCCAGCTTAAAATTGGAACCCAAGCTCTCCAGCACAGCCAGTCAAATCTGATGTAAACGAGCTGTTAGTGTGAAACAAGCTGATGAAGATGTGCCATTAAAACCACACAGAACCTCTTCATCTGATGTATCCCAAGATGAGACTAGATTCCAATGCCACGTACAAGAACATACATAAGACTGGCCACATAAGTCAGGCCAAAGGTCCATCTAGCCCAGTATCCTAGCATGGGAAGTAAATTTTACTAGCACAAAGAAAGCTTCAGGATTCTTAAGTTTCACTATTCTGGCAAAACCAGAGTAGACATGCAGAATGGGAAGATGTTCCCTCCCTCTGGGGCACCTGTGTTGGAAGACAGGATACTGGGCTAGATGGACTTTTGGTCTGACCCAATATGGCTGTCCTTACGGTGCAATGTTGTATGAGGATACTACAGACCAATTGCAAAGCTGGACAATCTAACATTTAAGCCCCTCTGGTCTTGACAGGGTGACCCTTTAGCTACTGGGAGGAGTGCGAGGAGCTTCTCAGTTTTTTAAAAATAAACATACTATGGGACTGACATTTTTTGGAGAATCCCACGTATTGGATCCACAGCAGCACAGGCAACAATAGTGCTAACTCCCACCACATTAGCCTGTGGGTCTCCTTCCTGACCACCTCCACAGTTCAGTTTCTGCCTACCCCGTTCAGTACTTGACCCTTCTGTCAACACTGGTAGCAGCTTTGTAAGAGGTAAGCTGCCCATTGGGAGCAGGATTAAAAGCAATTCATTCTATGTATGGCACCAAACAGCCAGCTGATTCAACGGCTTCTCTAAACAAGCAGTTAATGCACAGCAAGCTGAGGCACGAACTCTCCCTTGTGCTGAGTCCTACAGGTATGTCTACACAGCTGTTAGATCCTGGCGGCTGGCCTGTGCCAGCTGTCTCAGAGCTCTGGGGCGCATGCAAGGAGCTATTTAATTGTGATGTAGACATTCAGGATGAGGCTACAGCCTGAACTCTGTGACCATCCCCTCTCTGAGGGTCTTAGAACAGGGCTACTCAACTTTGGAGGCCCCGGGGGCCACAATGATACTCACAGCACATGCCGAGGGCTGCAACTTAAGTGTGGTTGCATATACATGCATATATATGCAAATATATGCAAATAGCTTCTTTCACACTGACAGGCATGAATATAAAGGTTAAGGCAAGACTACACAACAAGCAGGCCCCATTTAAGTCAGTTCTGCTGGTTTTAATAAAATGCAATAGTTACCCGATTTCCACCCTTATGACAGCACTTTTCATGAGCAATGAGAGTCCAGGAATGTAACTACTAAAATGAATATTAACAAAAGACCATTCTATTGACTTGCTGTTGTGGCGTGTTCCCAGTGGAGGCCATATTCAAAGGACCTCACCCACGGGCTGCATGTTGAGCCCCGCGTAAACCCAAACTGCACTGCGGGCCGACAGCCTACGGGCCGCATGTTGAGTAGCCCTGTCCTAGAACCTGGGCTCTCGCCTAGTCCCAAATGTCCATACCCCAATTAAACAGCACCTCAGCCTAGGCCCTGTGTCAGCTGTTCCAGGCCAGCTGCGGGTTTTTAATTGCAATGTAGACGTGCCTGTGCACTGACAGTTCTCTGGAGCGTGCCCTAATGGCTTTCCAGCACGAGGCTGGATTCAAACTGGCAGCCCAGCAGCAAAGGAGTGACTCTGTTACCCGTTCGTAGGCTGGTATGTTCTTGTGGGTGAGCCCATCCAGATTCTGACATAGGCTGGGACTCCTGTCTTGCCATGTTTTCTATGGACTCACTTCCAGTACCACCTGGCTTTAATCTGAATTCCCCAATTCAGGGTGGCCAAGAAGTCTGAGGGACATGACCAGCTTTTCTTGTGCATTGCTAGGTGGGAAGTGGGGAGATCCTGATACTATTTGCTGTGTTAAATGGGGTCGCAAGATGGAAAGGGTTGCGAGAATCACTGCCTTCATCCGTAACAAGCATTGAGTCATGCAAGGCTCCATTGCAAGGGATGTAAAGCTGATATGACAGAGACGTTCCCTACTGATAATTTTTAATTTGAGTAATAAAAAGCGGGGTACACAAAGCTTGAGGTACCCCAATTACAAATCACTAATTGAGATATAATTATTAATAATTATTTATATTAATTATATCACTAGTTAATGGTAAACCAAATTGATGGAAGTTAGTTGTGTTGTTCACATTGGCATGAATCCTTACTTGCATTGTCTGGCAGATGATAGTGAATGGCCCTGTGTCCCCCGGTCCTTGATCTTCTTGCTGTCTTCTCTCCAGAGCTCCATCACTGAAGGCCAGAGGGGATGCAGTGGAACTGGTACTCAGAATCGAGTAAGAGCTGTCACAAATAAAGACAGGCTTGCTTAGCAAATGTTTCTTTGCCCCTATTGTCCTCAGAGTCGTGCCAGGATATTCCCAGAGCCTGAGACAGGGCAGTAAGTGGTTTTATTATTCTTGTTTTTCAGTATGTGCTTGGTGCTGCACATATGCAGAGTAAGGGGTCTCCTCACCCCCAAAGAACTCTACAGTTCATCAGAGAAAGGGGTTCTTAATCCAGGAGTCATCACCCCACACTAGACCTACAGCATGTGCCCAAGGGTAGCGTAGGAGGCCCAGTGAGGTAACTGGGTTTTGTCCCCGGGGTGGCTGGTGGTGGAGGCTGTTGCAGAGTTGGTGCTGCACTCCCCTAACAGAAGCAGTTTCAGTCCTGGGAGGTCTGGCTGGGTTTGGCTCCCTGCTCTGGACCTGGTACATGGGGTTGCGGTACCACACAAGCTTGACCCAGCTGACCCTCCGTCATGAAAGGGGGCTCACCAGGCCACACTGGAGTGAGTGGAACTGCGACCCCAGGCCCCACGGTGCCCCGAGCAGGGAGCTGCACCTCTCACCCTGTGGGACAAGAGCTCCAGCCACCGCCACGCGACATGCCTGATGCACTCACTTAAGGTTTAGTACGTCAATGTGGGCATTGCATATCGTGGGATGGGAGTATTTAGTAACTCAGCTGTTTTTGTACCACAGCTATTTACTCGGTCACAGCAGCCTTTGCCAATAGGTCCTGAGCCCTAAAAGGTTGAGAACCACTGTAGTCAAGAACAACCTAAAAAAAAACCAGGTTGGGAGGAAGTCTTCAGCTAGCTGTGGGGCCCGGGCTTTCATTTAATATATGACTGTAGAGCGCCTAGCACAACCACGCAGCTCTTTCTCCCCCCACCCCTCCATCAGGGTGCAGCTTCTGAAGTCCCCCCATGGCTCGTAAAGCTGCCCCTGTGCTCCCAAAAATGGCAACGGCCCTCTCCTCTCAGCTCCCTGCTGGCCTGGGCAGGAGAGCCATCCAGCGCGGCCATTAAAGATGGAGAATTAAAGATGGCATTGGCCGGCGAGAGCCTGATGTGGCCAAAAAGCCACAAAAAGCCGCGTTTTCTTTCTTTCTTTTTTTGCTCGACAACTTTGCACTGGATCTCCGCTGATATGGGTTAGCACACGGGGATCAACCTGGTCATGATCCTTCAGCACTACTGCAGGGTACCCTAGTAAATAAGCAGTTCAAAGCCTATGCGGGGTAGTGTAGACATACCCTGGGTGAGGTGGGGGAGACCAGCTCTGTGCTCCCGGAAGGGCCGGGCCTCAGGCAGAAGGCTAGCCTCCCCTGCTGGTCCACACAGAGCTCATCGTCCGGAACTCCAGCAGGGATTTAATGGGCCTGGGGCACTTGTCCCCTTTGCCCCTTTCCCCCCCAATCAGTGGGCCTGGGTGTGGCAGCTGGGCCAAGTAATCTACCATGTGCGCTCTCTTCCTCATACAACCAATGAAATGGTTGAATTCAAAGTAGTTGTAGAACCTCTAATATCACAATGATCTAGGACCCTTGGCATGGCACAGATACCTGTCTTCTTGCAGTTCACTGAATGGATCAAATTGGCGGAGAGAACCTCAAAACTGGACGGTAACAGACCACAACTCCCAGGGATATCCCAGTATCACTTACCCCTGGTGATAGGCTAATCAGAAAGAGCCCTCGCCATGCTTGTAGCTGTTTCCATAGCTTCACACTGACTCAATGTTCTAGGCTTCAGTGTGACATGCGGACAGTGACAATTATGGAATTTTATAGAAACTAACTTCCCAGTCCAGGAGGCTGCATTTAAGGGGTCATCAGAGATGGATACAATAAAGATCATTGGAATATCCAATTCTGATACATGCAAGAGACATAAACAATAACAGCAGTTGAGATCTGAATTACGACAGTGTCAATTGTGAGTAATTGCATTTAAGTCAACAGAGTTCACACCAGTTTTATAACTGGTGTGAGAGAAAAAGGATGAGCTGTATCATCTCCTTAAAGAGGGGCTTTCTCTCTCCTTACAAAATACGGTGCAAACCTAGACTGCGGTTTTGCGTATTGCTCCGCATAGGTGCAGGATAAACCCACACAAAGTAGCTTGTATGGTCCAGGCCTTCACAGGTATGTCACATATTCAAAACAATTCCATTATTCCCACACTTTTTCACTGTCTCCCACAGTGGTTCCCGTCTGCTGTGGGCACCACAGGGTTTGTTTATTGCTGCCAGTGCTTGCTGCTAAACATAGCCACAGGGACAGAATAGATCACTTACTTTTTTCATTAAATATGCTAATCAAATGGTGCATGTGACAAATAAAGGCATCCCAGCTAGATTTTCAAGTGTGGGTCAACATCCTTGGGAGTAAATTACAACAGGCAATTACAGAAACGCAACCAGCCCTCTATTGATTACAGTGGATCTTGCTGTGATGTGAGTTTTCTTACTCAATGAAAATAATTGGTGGGCTAATGTGTGCTGCCATTTGCTTTGACACAGAAATAGCCACCTTCCCTTTGCACTTGGATGAATTGCTTTAAATGTGTCAGGAGAAAACTCCTGACTTGCTCCAACGGGTCTCTCTCTACAGTGAAAGAAAACAGGTCACCTGTGTTTGCTAGTAGGTAATCGGCCAGGGAATTGTATCGTCCTTGTCAACAAACAACAAAAAACATCATGCCCTTAGTCCTAATGCCCACTTGTTTTGTACAAAAAATAAATATTTGGGCTGGGGCATAGCAATGATTCTCTTATACAGGCAGGACACTGCACCTGGGTGCCCCCAATAACTCTTAAAAAGGGGAGTGTGAGGTACCGCGATGGCGAGCATGGTGAAAGACTCTGTCCTGATCCCTGCCCACAGAAAGGCACGTCCGCACAGCCAGGGAGCTGCACTGGACTGGCATCTCAAGGGCCATCACACACGTTTCTTCATACCTGAAGCAAAAATTCCCAGGTCTGGTCCCCCTGGAATTTGCCGGGAGGAAGGCAGGGCTTATTACTCCTCCTCCTCCTACTAGAAGATTTAACTGGTGTTGCTCGGATCTTTAATTCATATAAGTTTTGTTTTTCTTCATTTAAATAACTGCTCTGAAGTGAGGCTGGGGATGATGGGTTCAGTGTGCAGGCTGCCGTGGGGGGGGAAGGACCACCACAGCGGCTTGGGGCCAGGTGAGAAGCACCTGTCCATGGCTGCTGCAGCTGCAATAGGCACAGCATAGGGGAAGGGGAGAATGCCCCCTGTCTGGCGGACAGACAGACACATGGACAAACTCTCTGAAGTATATAGTAAGTAGATAGCTGTCCCTTTCTCCACCCCTGCCTCTTGCTGGCCTAGTGGGGGTATAACTGTCCCGGTCTCCATTTCTGGCTCCTTGCTGGCCCTCCCTTGGTGATTCTGCAGTATAACTGTCCCTCCTGCCAGACCCCCCCCCTTTCCATTTTATGAGCAACAATCAAATTCCAGGCATATCCCATCGTCCTGGCACAACCAAACCCTGACCTTGCTTTAAGTTATGATAAGGGGAATCCAAATCAAAATGTGGTGATCTTAGCTCTTACATACAGGAGGAGTCCTTGAACAAACGGACTCACAGACGGACACAGAGCCAGACATGCACTTTTCTAAATATACAGTAAGAAGAAGATAGCAGCTCCTACCAAGTGCTGAACACTTTCCAAATACACAAAGAATTATCCCTGCTCTCAGGACCTTACGGTTGAAGAGTGGAGAGATGATTAGACAGAGATTAGGAGAACAATCTGCAATGTCTATGCAGAACACTGGAAGCATCATGGCAGAATGGATTTTGCTTTTTAAGAGAGATTTACAGGTACACAGGGCAGTGGCAAACAGATGAGCTCACCTTGCCTGGGGTTGAAATCCAGACCCTGTTTTGCAATTGGCCCCTATCTTAGTGATGGTATGAACCAAAAGCTTGGATCTGAATTGTGACAGATAAGGCAATAATCCTGCAGTGTCCCTGGGAGACCTTGTTGAGTTAAGTTAAAGTATCTTCAGGATGCACTGTATTAAAGGCAAAGTTTATGTATTTTGGTGGGTTGGGATTGGAGAGGAGGGGGGAAGTGATGTGTATCTTGCGAAAGTTCAAAGGTGTACACTTGAGGGATTATTTGTATGAATTGGATTTCCTCAGAAATACCTCGGGTAAGGTTGAGAAAAATTCCTTGTATCCCGTTGTGCAAAATCCCAGCCCTTTGAAGCTATGCCCTGAGGCACTGAGTCATTGTTCACTGGTGAATGTTCCCGGAGGTTGGAGAACAAAGGCTCAAATCACATAAAGAAATGGCTGAACTGCCCAGGCAGGGTTCTCAGAATCAGAGACAGCTACAATGTGGGGATTCGGAAGGACTTACACCTACCAGAACCTAAAGCTGGACTTGGGGGTGACCTCTAGAAAGCTTTTAAGTATACTTGTCAGGGTATTTTTTTTTTTTTTTAAGTTTTCTCTGTGATGCTTTCATCTGAAAAAAAAAATAAATGTGCTTGCTTACAAAGAGCTGTGTGGGGACTGATAGCTGATGGCAATGGTTGAAGAGAAAGCAAAGCACAGACACTGACCTGCTTGAGCCATCTGCCTTGCTGAGCAAAGCAGGTAAGGAACAGTGCAGCCTTACCAACATCATTGCGAGGAGGGAGGCAGAGACGCAGGTCTCCACTCGAGAGAGGTGACGGCTGGGAGTGAGGGTAGGTAGCATATGCTGGGTGGACCACAAGCGTAGTTGTCCTTAAACTGTGACATGCCCAACTGTGACAAACTATATGCTAAGGGAAATCTTCATGCTGGAGCCTATCTCGGATCCCTTAAGAAGCTCTGTCACTTTTCTCTTCAGTGCTGAATCCCACAGTGGCCGTACTGATGAAAGGCACAGCCAAGACCCCTTCGGTATGGACAGCAGTGTGCAGCTGGCATGTTTATTTAAGAGCAAATTAAACAGACATCTCTCAGGGATGGTCTAGGTGGTACTGGGTCCTGCCATGAGGGCAGGGCACTGGACTCAATGAGCTCTCAAGGTCCCTTCCAGTTCTAGTGTTCTGTGATTCTATGCTTGGTCCTTTCACAATCCCTGAAGATGGTCAACAGCAACAGCATTTATATCCCACTGCCTTGGTCGTTTGATAGTGCGGTCTTTTCTCCCTTTATCTCTGAGCAATTGCTCTTTCACGGTTTCAAGGCTTTTTCTCCGTCTATCCCTCCTTAAAGTTCATGCAGCATAGTTAGACCCATTCATGGATGCTAGGAATGGGTAAGAATTATGGTGAGGCACAAGCGAATCTCTCTGCAACCTCCAGTATCTCATGGCTGCAGAAGAGCCATAAATGTGACTTTGCCAATGTCTCTCTTGCGCTGCTGGTGCCTGGAAAACAGAAACCACTGAGGCCAATTCAAGTTTGTCATCTTCCACCCGTAGCTCACTCCTTGGAAGAGCCCAGATACAAATATCTTCTGGGTGAGGCAACTATGTCAACTGCCTTACTCACAACATTGCTGCCACCAGCACTGATTCTTCCCTGGGGGCGAAGTGTGCCCTTTCCTGGGTAGCCCTGGAAGGCGGGTGCAGGATCTGCGGAGAGGCAGGCCAAAAGGGTCCCTACCAGTTTTGCTGCAGGTAAAGCCTCTACAGACTGGGGGTGTGTGTGGGACTAGAGTGTTCCTCCCATGTCCCTGCTCATTGGCCCCTAGATAGATGGGAGCACCAGGAAGTGGATCTATCAGCTGTAAAGAGGGACTGGAGGCATGGAAGGGGAACGGAAGTCCAAGTGCTGCAGCAGTGATGACTGAGCCTGGCTTGGGAATTGAGGAGTTTTTCTCTTCCCTCCTGGACCCGGTGCCCAACGAGGCCTGTTGAAGGAGTCAAGGAGTGGCTCTAGCCCCATCAGACAGAGCGGGGTGATCTCCAATGCAGCAATTTGCAGGCCCTGGCTGGGGAGGAGAGCACCTTTACCTTTGCAAACAAGATAAACCTGAGCCAAGCAGCTCAGGCACCTACCAAAGCCTCCAGCTTTCAGCAGCCTCCAGTGGAGCTGGGCTGAGTCCACAAAATCACAATAGGAGGCAGGTTTCCACAGCCCTGTCCCTTTAGGCTCACATATGAGAGAGACCCACAGTGCTGCACATCTGGTTTTGTGGCTCCTGGTGGGAAGCTGCTTCGAGCTAGTTCTGCTGGGCTTCCCACTTCCCTTTCAGCCTCCGTGGGACGCTGCTGCGGGCAGAGAGTTTCTCACTCTGAGTTGGCAGTGAAGTAATTCGCAGAGATGAATGGGCGCTTAGGGAATAGCCTGCAGACAGCTCTCCTCCAGGAAGGACTTGGGACAGGCTGTTTTTTTGTAGTGTGGCTTAGATTTGTTCCGAGTTGTTATAGCACAATAGCACTGCTAGAAGGAAAGGACTTAAGCCTTTAAATAATGCAGAGGGGAAGCACTTTTTTATCACATACGGTCAGATCCTCAGCTGGCGTAAATAAGAGTAGCTCCGCTGCAGTACATACAGATAGACCACGGGTGGGCAATAAGACAGCTGTGATTCACCAGAGTTAGCCCCTGGCTAGATTTACTTGCACCTCTGCAGGTACGGGCGATGGCAGCTTCCACTGGCCCTAGATCACCATTCCGGGCCAATGGGAGCTTTGGGAAGTTTGGCCTCGGACCCAGCTTCCTGCAGGTCCCATGGGCTGGGAACAGCATGGGCATGGCCAACAGGAGCTGCAATCGCCCGCACAGGTGAATATAACAATGGCAGCCCAACAGAGGCTAATTCTGGCAAACCAGACCCGGCCTGCAGGCCAGTGTTTGCCCACTGCTGAGCCAGAACAGTTCACACTGCAGGAAGGACGAGGTCCGTATTCCCTAAGGCTGTGTCTACACTGGGCCACTTATTCCGGAAAATCAGCCGCTTTTCCGGAATAAGCTGCGAGCTGTCTACACTGGCCCTTGAATTTCCGGAAAAGCAACGATGCTCTACTGTACAAAATCAGGCGCTATTCCGGAAAAACTATTCTGCTCCCACTCGGGCATAAGTCCTTATTCCGGAACACTGTTCTGGAAAAAGGCCAGTGTAGACAGCCCGGTAGTCTTTTCCGGAAAAAAGCCCCGATCGCGAAAATGGCGATCGGGGCTCTTTTCCGGAAAAGCGCGTCTACATTGGCCACAGACGCTTTTCCGGAAAAGCAGCCTGCCAATGTAGACGCTCCTTTTCCGGAAAAACTGAAAACGGTATAGTATTCCGTTTTAAGCATTTCCGGAAATTCATGCCAGTGTAGACACAGCCTAAAGGTATGCTTTCCTCCTGGGAGTGAGCCAAACATGCTCTGGTTTGGTTACAGAGCAGCCAGTAGGTTACCTGCCTTGCAAACTCTTCTACATCCCTTATATTGGGGGAACACCAGCAAAACCAAAGGAGCCTGATTCTGTTACTTCTTAGGCTCTTATCTGGTTCCCATTGTTATGGTATCTGAGCGCCTCTTAACTTTTAATTCATTTGCCTCGCAACTTGTCTGTGGGGTAGGGAAGTGCTATTATGGGGGGGCGGGGGACCGAGACACAGAAAGATGAGGGGTTTGTCCAGAAAAGCGCCCTCATCTCCTTTAGGCTAGTGCAAACCTAGCAGGCACTCCCACTGTAGTCACTGGCGTGACCTTGGTGTAAAGCTGATACGGGAGAAGAATCGGGCCCCCGACTGCATGGATGGATACAACTTTCATTGGATTTAACAGAGCAATCCTCAACATTGCCAATCCTCAACATTCCCTCCCCCCAAATCTTTGTTTCACTTTCTCAAAATTTCTTTCATGGGCAGGAGAGCTAGAAACTTTAGGTCACAGGGTTCAAACTACTTGCCTGTGGGCATTCCCAGTGGACACAGTTGCATAATCCGGCCTGGGGCTTCCAGTGGGTGGGGGGTTCTGTCCGTTACTGGCCCTGAAGTCCTGTCCCTTCCCATCATCACCCCATCCGTTTCCCCTCACTGGCACCATGTCCCCTGAGCACATGGCTTTGGGGATCATGGGGAAGTCGGGGTGGGGTTTAGGGGCTGGTAATTGACATGTGCAACCTCCCCCCTTCCTGGCCAGCTGGCAGTTCTGGGCTGGATTGGGCAATTTCTCTGGCCAGGACTGGCCCATGGGCGGGGAGTTTGAGACCTCTGCTTTACACACTTTAAAAATCAAAAGCTGAGTCTCCCCTAGTTGCTGCTCTGGAAGCTGGGGGCTGTAAGAGTAACACCAAATAGCACGAGAGGCAGGATAAAGGGCTGGCCACACTCATAGCATTGCAATGGTTTACGCCAGTCTGAATGCAGCGTGTCCAGTGAAGCAATTCTCAACCGTCACTGCTTCACCCTCTAATTCTGACTGTAGAGATCAATTAGTGCTGCTCTTCACGCCCTCCCCACATGAAGGGCTCTCGGTTGCCATGGCACTGGGATGGGAAGAACCTACACAAGGGATGTGCTCCCCCCCACCCCACACACACACTATGTTCCACATACCCATGGGCAGCAGGTGAACCTCCTCTTCAGGGAGCGTTGAATCCCCCTTACTTCCTGTAGCCGGAGGAGCCTCAAGCTGATCCCTGGGCCACCATCCAGCCTGAGTGTTGGGCCATGGGCCAACCTGAGCCACTGCTGCGTTTCAGGGGAGAGGCAGAGCGGGGCGGAGAGACTTAGCCACCCCTAGTCTTTGAAACCCACTGGCCATGCACATAGCACAATTTTATAGGGCTATGAGGGATCCCAATCATGGGGCTAAGAGGCCCTTCAGGAATTGCTGCCCTGGCAGCTGAGAAATGATTCCTCTGTCATTCTGCTGCCTTATTGGGCATGGAGACATTTCTGTCCATGCAGCTTCCATTGCACAGCCCAGCTCTGTGTTCAGATACCAATTCAAGTCCCTTAGGGTATGTCTACACTACCACCCTAGATCGAACAAGGGTGGTAATGTAGGCAACCGGAGTTGCAAATGAAGCCCAGGATTTGAATTTCCCGGGCTTCATTTGCATAAAGCCGTGCGCCGCCATTTTTTAATGTCCGCTAGTGCGGACTCCGTGCCGCACGGCTACACGCGGCACGGACTAGGCAGTTCGGACTAGGCTTCCTAGTCTGAACTACCATTACTCCTTGTGAAATGAGGAGACCTTCTTTCAGAGGAGACCTTCAAAAGCCAGGTTATGTCCTGGACACCAAAGATGCTATTTTATAAGCTATGGCACTTGCTTTGATGCCATAGGTTAAAATTTGCCCTCTCCTGATTGCTCTGGGGTGCGGCTGGGATGCCGGGATGGTGATGTGTACAAAGAATTTGTCGAAGTGCTTAGCATTCCTTTGGGATGGTACATGCTGTATTTTCATCAAGGATGTTTATTGTGATGAGCAGGAAAATATTCTCTGTCATGATCACTTTTATCCCAGTGCAGGGCTGCCCAGTACTCCCAGTGTGAGCCTCAGTTCCATCCACATGCCACCTGTTTCAGAGATGGAAACGAGCCTACGCCTCGGATCCCGAGCGCCCCAAATGCCTGACACATGGATCATAACTCAGTGAACTGGGACGCCGTGTTCTCCAAGAGCAGAGCCGTAGAACCACAGCCAGTACTTCTATCTCTGGTCCCTTTGATTGGCTATGCTGAAACCCAGAGCCCTCTGTGCCTGAAAACTTAGTCTGAATGCCTAGAGGCTTTTCGATGATCATGAAAATCCAGGCTGCAGTACATTGCACTACGCTGCAAAAGTTGAGCTTAACTTGTCCTTAGTTTGCTTTCTTCTGACACTTAATTACCTAATATGCACTGTGGAAATCTATGATGTAAAATCGTCTGTTTCAGAGTATATAATATTGTTTTTGATAAACGTTACATATTGCCTGCTTTGATTCGTTATTTATGTTCTTTAATGGTAATCAGGAAAAGGAGCATTTCCTTTCCTCCCTTTCCTGGAGGCAAATTGCTGCTGGAATTGCCAAACTTTTGTTTCCCTTTTAGTTACTGTAGTAATAATAATAATAATACAGATTGAACTTCTCTAGTCTGGCACCTGACTGGTCCTGAACCAGAGAATCTGCTGACCCTGGGAAGTCAATATTGCCTAGTAGCATTACCAACACTTCCGCTGCTGACTGGCTTCTTAGAAGACGTTTAGAGCTAAGTAACAGCACAGAACACTGAGAGTCAGGACTGGTGGCTGGAAACAATCTTTATGGGACCCTGGGAGACTTGGCCACACCCAGGATAAGTGGCCACAGAATCACAGAACACTAGAACTGGAAGGGACACCGATGAGAGGTCATTGAGCCTAGTCCCCTGCCCTCACATCTGGCTAACCAAAATCATGCGGGACCATGTTTCCAGACCAGAGAATGCCGGACTGGAGAGTTTCAACCTGCAATCGTTTTTAATGTATTGGTGCCCAGGACCAAAACTCCTCCAGGAACCTTGACAAAAATGTAAATTTCAGATAGTTTGCTATAGAGTAGCTCAGTGTGCAAACGCAGACTGCAAACCCATTGCAGCGGATGAAGTTTTAGTGGACAAAGGATGGTCTTGTTAGGACACTGTGATGAACATTCTCCCCTCAGCCACAGACTCTCTGATTGAGCTTGGTCAAGTCATTTCACTGCTCTGAGCCTTAGTTACCAGAGATGTATCTTTGGCTCATGGGGGTGCTGTGAACATGACCCCATATCTACGTGGGAGGAATGGCGATATTAGTGGGAGAGAAGGGTACTATGTAAATACCTGCAGAGATAAAGGATGGCCCTTGCCACCTGTGGAGAGATTAGTAAAATTCAGACTTGAGCAATGTGAGACTCTTGCAGATTGCAAGCCATTCTCTTTTTGAAGTTGTATGTTGGTGCCCACCTAAGGGAATGTGGCTTTTGGGCTTGGGGGAATTCGGGTCTTGTTTGCATGGTGTGATCATTTGCATTGTTATGTGGATTCAAAGCTACATGATGAAACTAGCCACTGGGTGTACAACTGTTGCTCACCGCACCACATGTGACTAAAACTGAAAGGGTAAAAAACAAACAAAAACCAGCCTGAACCTTTCTGTTGTTTTGTTTCTTGCATCTCCCTCAACCTGGAGATTGCTTTGGTCAGCTCCTTTTGTATTCCTGGTCAGTTTCATGCTTCTGCGTCTCTTGTGGCAACACAGTGGCCAGCGCTGGATTGTTAACTCACCCACCTTACTCACCATTCCTCTGAAGACTTGGGAGTCGGTTGAAGTTTTAAATAAGACACGTCTATATTTGGTTTGTAACCTCCCTCCCAAAACGCTGTAGCTTCCCTCACCAAAAACGTAAAAGCTGGAGGCCCAATTGCGCAATGCCTCGTTAGAGAGATAGTGGCCAAAAAGATGCTTTCCTTCTTCCCTCCCTTGTCTTGTGTCACCATGGGAGGGCTAGTCACAAAGGGCCAGATTTTCTGAGATTTAAATATCCCAGGCTTTATTTGCATCTTCCTGTCTGGTCACCATTTTGAAATTCCACTAGCCCGAAGTAACTGCCCGCAGCTACACACGGCAGTGAAACGGTAATTCAAACTAAGTCCTTAGTTCCAATTAACTGTTACTTATCCTGGAATGAGGTGTAACAGTTCATTCGAACTAAGGACTTAGTTTGAATTACTGTTTCACTGCCGTGTGTAGCTGCGGGCAGTTACTTTGGGCTAGTGGAATTTCAAAATGGCGACTGGATGGGAACATACAAATAAAGCCTGGGATATTTAAATTCCGGGCTTCATTTGCAACTTCGAATGCCTACATTAGCCTCCTTAGTTCGAACTAGGGGGCTAGTGTAGACATCCCCAAAGGGAGTTAAGTTCCCAGGTGCTTCTGAAAATCCCACTAGGCAGCTATTTTGCCTAAATATATTAGGGAATCTAAGTCAAGCCTTATGCTCAGGGATCATACTCAGTGGCATTAACCTCCCCAGAGAAATGGTCTTGCAGGAATGTGTGGTCTGTATCATTCCATTGTCAAGAGAGCTGCAAGACTTTTATGGCTCATGCTCCTGGTCTTGCCACCTAGGCCAGGTCTACACTAGGGCTGTGTCTACACTACATGCCTCTGTCGGCAGAGGCATGTAGATTAGGGTTGTAGGCAAAGGTAAATGAAGCCGCGATTTAAATGATCGCGGCTTCATTTACATTTACATGGCTGCCGCGCTGAGCCGACGAACAGCTGATCAGCTGTTTGTCGGCTCAGCGCGCTAGTCTGCATGCGCCCCTGCCGACATGAAAGCCCTTTATCGACCTCCCCGGTAAACCTCATCCTACAAGGTTTTCTGTTTGTTTTTAAGGGAATTAAACAGGCTGAGCCGACAAACAGCTGATCAGCTGTTTGTCGGCTCAGCGCGGCAGCCATGTAAATGTAAATGAAGCCGCGATCATTTAAATCGCGGCTTCATTTACCTTTGCTGAATAAACAAATCTACATGCCTCTGCCAACAGAGGCATGTAGTGTAGACGTACCCTTAGGGACAAAGTCAAACTAAGATACCCAACTCCAGCTATGTGAGTAGTTCGAATTTCCACGACAGCCCCACTGTGGCAGGTCGCCAGGAGAAACTCTCATGTTGACTTACCTTACTCCTTGCGACACGGTGTATTACCAGAGTTGACAGGGGCATGATAAGCATGATCTTTAGTAGACCCACTAAATCCCACCTTATCTCCCAGAAAGCAGAGACAAGGCCTGAGAACTTCTTATGGGAAAGCATGCTTCCTAATTCCCCACCCCTCGTACTGTGAGGTTGTGCCTTTCCACCTGCCATCTAGTGCTGCTCCTATATTAGTTGCTGGTGACCCGTTGAATAATATTGGTGGAACACCTGGACTCATTGTATGGTTGCTGGTGTCATGAAGAGGAATGGAGCCTGCTATTCTGTGACTGTATGCTCCTATCATTTGCAGGAGGTAAATCCCACTATCACTTCCTATGCCCAGAAAGTCAACCGGAGTATTGCTTACCCATGAAACACCCAGGTCCCACACTCATCTGCCTTTGTGATGTAATTCTCAGGCAGCAGGCCAGAACAGCCAGTCGCCAGGGACGTGCCATAGATCCAACCCTCGCTGGTGCTGGTTTGCTCCACCGGGGACATGAAAATGAAGTCCCCTGGAACCAGCTCAAGCTCGTCATCATTCTGCGGGATGTAGGGGTAGATCACTTGCAGCGTCTGGGGAGATGGAGCAAGAGAGAGCATGTAAGAAGGGCATTAAGGAACCTTGGGCCATGCGAGAAGGCTGAATGAATGAACTTGCATGTGCCTCTGCCCTGCTGTCTACTGCATTCCCCCAACTAGACCATTAACCCTTCTTAAGCCAGTAAAAGAGAAACAGTCTAGTTTTCAATAGGAGGTCAGACGAGATGACCACAGTGGTCCCTTCTGGGCTTATAATCAATAAAAACATCTTTAGAGCGTGCCGCCTGCCACATCCCAGCGGCAAAGTATTTAATTCTCGTTGGCAGGAAATTTTCAGTTTCCATTGGCCTATTTCCTACCTTTGCACCTACTCATGCTGTTCTTTGTGCTTTCCTAAATAATTTCTTGTTCCCCGATTCAGTAAAAAAATTTAAGCCTGTTCTTAACTTGAAGCATCCCTTTGACGTCAGTGGTTCTAGGCAAATGCTTAAAGATATACATTTGCTTTGGTCCATAGCTAAATCGGGGACTTGGGTTTTTACACACATGAGGTTCCCAAGGATCATTGATGTGTTTACTTGTCCTAAGTAAAAGAACACCCTTCTTTATCACTTCTTATTGGCTTTAAAGGTGAGGCAGTGACCCTTTGTCACAGGGCTAATATGTTTGAACTCGTGATATTCTGCTCTCAGAACCCACTGTAAGGACATTAAGAAAACAAAATGAAAGGTGACGAGGAATTTACTGCCTAGACCATCTCATTTTACAATCCTTTCCTAAGATGAATGGGCTCAGGTTTGAAGGCAGGTGGAGAAGTGGCAAAGAATTTGAATTCTATTCCTGTCTGTTGCACTATGATGTGATGAAAATAGATGTCCCATGTTGTATGCTCATGCCTGTGTGTGAATTAGCTGAGCAAGTATTTGGGATGTGGGTGTACAGATATAACCTGCAATGTTCAAGACAGCACAGATGGGACTTTAAAAAGTTTTGTTTTGTTTTATTATATGTTTACAAATGGGCACTCCCCCTCCCCCCGTATAACTAAACAAAAATGTTTTTGTGGGGATGGAGGTTTTTTTTTAAATGTTTTAAATACAATTGAGCTGTTCTCTTCTGCCAGCTGGGAGCCAGCATCTATTGTAGGTTGTGACACAGAATGGCAAGCAACCTTCTCTGCCAACTGAAGTGGAGTCAAATGTTGATCAGCAGCTTTCCTTGTAAATATCCACAGCCATTCTCTACTCCAACAAAAGGTTTGCTGTCCCCTGGCATGTCTGAGTTCTGCATTAGCAACTTGCAGCTAAGTTAGTCCTGTTTTTCATCCCCATCCAGTGTTCAGTCTACGCTGCTGTCAGCCTCGCCGGGCCCGGGAGGAAGGAGCAGTACTGGGGCAGCCAGCCCTCAGCGCTGCATGGAGAGGGCTGCTGCAGCCTGCCTGTGCCAGTTCTCAGAACTGCGCAGCGCCGCGTTCTAGTTGTGATTTAAAGGGCCTGGGTGGGGCTCCAGCCACTGCTGTGGCAGTGGCCCTTTTGGATTACTGAGGCCCGGGGAAGCCGCTCCCGTTGCAGTCTCCCTTCCTTCCCCCTTCCCCCGGCAACTTTCATCACAAAGCAAACATCTGAGCAGCTCTGGCCTGAAAACCCCTTGGGGCAGGGCCTAGCACGTGCACTAACAGCACCGCAGTGTCCGGTCTCACGTTTGGAGCATGGCCACATTCCTGAGATCCGAGTAAAATGCAATAAACTGCAATTGTCTGTGACAGGATTTCTGGACTCCAAAAATTACCTCATGATTCGCAAATCTTATATCTCGAGAGAAGATTGCAGCGACCCAGTCGCATCCTAGCTTGACGTCGATGTTCTGAGCTAATTTCTCCAGCGTGGGCAAGTGGCTGGTTTGGAAGTGGTAGGCCAATGTCACGTGTAGCTGTTTCTTATGGGGCTCTACATGCACATCTGCAATGAGAAAGGTGTGATCAACAGCACGCGACTGTCACGTTTAACACAAGATTCTTGCTCCGTTTTCAAAGGCCCCGGAGCCTTCGCCCCACAGCTACGAGAGCACTGAACTAAACTTGCCAGTTAGTAAAGGGGAGACAAGTGCATTCCGGCCTCTGAAATCAACCTGCACACTGGCACCGATCTGAGTCTGACCCTTCAGCATTAGATTAGAGGAGCACTTGGTACGGGTGAAGACAGGGTGCCTCATGAAATCTTGTATAACCCACTGCCAGTTGAGACTGCGTTCTGCTTCCCCAGGCTGTGCACCTGATGTGCAGAAGAGAGGAATCTGCTACTGCCTGCAGCGCCAAGGTTTAGCAGGTCTTAGGATCATGCTTTTAGCACAGAGATCCCTGGTTCGTTCTCTGGTCGTGACCAAGATGCCAAACTCTTAAAATCAGGAATAAGGGATCTTTCGGAAAAGGCTTTATTTTCTGAAAGATCCGCGTCTAGACTGGAGCTTTTTTCCGGCAAAGCTCCGAGCCGGAAAAAAGCGGCAGCCATGTTTATGCAAATGAAGCGGGGAGGATTTAAATCCCCGCTTCATTTGCAATTGCGCTGTGTCTAATTTGCATCCCTTTTACGGAAAAGGGATGCAGTCTAGACACAGCCTTAGTGTGACTACCAACCTTGGGAATCAAATGAATTTATTCAGTCAGATCCTCAGCTGGTGACTTGGGTGGAGTTTTGCCAATTTACACCAGCTGAGGATCTGGCCCGGAGTATTTCCCACAGAAGGGACGCTGTTCAGGGAGCGCCACTGCCTCCCAAAAGTGCCTCCACCCTGATTTGGAAAGACACTTCTGGGGGAAAGTTAGTCCTGACTTTCACCTCCACCCAGTCTTCAGTCTATGCTGCTAACAAGGAGGCCAGGTTTGGTGGGGCAGCTCTCTCTTAAGGACTGGGCTCTGATTTTAAAACAGCCCATCGAAAGGCTCGCTCATGACCTGCTCACAAAGATTTTGGCAGCAGAGCAGATACATTTTACCATGACATATCAGGCATATTTGGCATTAGTCAAGCTACAACACTTGGGACTCTCAAATGCCTGCCTTGGGCATTTTTTTCCTGTGTACGTCGCCTTGGTATACTTCGGTTCCACACTAACGTCGTTGATGAATTTAGGAACTGTTTCCTTAGAAGTCCTCCCATTCCCCAATCTTATGTCACTCATAAACAAAAAAGGAAAAAATAAAAATCTGCTCAAATGAAAGTCAGCCGCTTGAACTCAAATCAAAGAAATTCCCCACTTTACATTGTTTCGCTATACGCCCACGTTTTTTGGAACGTATCTTGGACGTATAGCAGGGACGGCCTGTACTCACCCACTTTAGAAGCAGCTTCTGCAGCAAAGTCAGCAGCAAACTTCTTGAGGACCTCAGCACTGTCTTCCTTGACAAAAAGCCCAATGAAGTTTGAAGATGTGTAGAGCTCCAAAGGCAGAGGAGCAGGGAATTTGCATTTCCATCGCATCACTGTGGCCTGTAGGGCTTCATTAAGCGCATCAACCTTGCTGTCTTCACACTGCCAAGGGAAGCAGGACAGAAGTTCCTTAGGTAGCGGGAATTCATTCCCTGGGACCATATATACCCTTGGCATGTATTTAGAGAAGAAAGGAAGAGTTCAAGGTGATGGAGCTAAATGGCTTTAAAGCTTGAACTTTTGTGAAAGTAGAAGAATGTAAAGAAACAGTGTATTCATCAAACATGAAACAAATAAGACAAGCACAACTTTTCCATGGATTTGTATTCATTCTCCTATTGCACTTGTTCTAGATCTATTTGTTGGGGTTTCCCCAAGACTTCTTCCACTTGGTTCCACAAGAACTTAGCTCATCTGCCATGTTATCAATCAGGCACACAGCAAAGCTAGGTGGAGTTGATTAGATTCAAACATGGGGGTGGGTATAAGCATATCACACCCCCTAAAATACACAGCACCACTCTTACTTTATGTATGTTTGTCATTACTTTGCTTTGACTTTACATTTTGGGGTTGGTTTAGGATTGGAACTCTGTAGGAACCAATCCCAGGACAACATGCGCTATCCATAAGCAATTTATTTTTTACCTCATCTTACCTCCAGGCTTATTCTATCCATTGTTATCTTGTCCATTTGTAGATGACTCCCTCGGGCTACGTCTACACTGGCATGAATTTCCGAAAATGCTTTTAACGGAAAAGTTTTCCGTTAAAAGCATTTTCGGAAAAGCACGTCTAGATTGGCAGGATGCTTTTTTGTAAAAGCACTTTTTGCAGAAAAGCGTCCGTGGCCAATCTAGACGCGGTTTTCCGCAAAAAAGCCCCGATCGCCTTTTTTCGGGATTGGGGCTTTTTTGCGGAAAACAGTACTATGCTGTCTACACTGGCCCTTTTGCGCAAAAGTCTTTCGGAAAAAGACTTTTGCCCAAACGGGAGCAGCATAGTTTTTCCGGAAAAGCACTGATGATTTTACATGAGATCATCAGTGCTTTTCCGGAAATTCAAGTGGCCAGTGTAGACAGCAGGCAAGTTTTTCCGCAAAAGCAGATGATTTTGTGGAAAAACTTGCCAGTCTAGACACAGCCTAGGTGTTCCCCTTTATCTTAGCTAGTATAGACATTCTGTTGACAGATTGCTGATCTATTTGTCTCCCCAATATTGTTTCCCAAGAAATCAACCCATTTCTAATTACTCATGTCAAGTCAGGTCTGCATCAGTGATTAACTTATTTCCAAAATGCCCATCAATCACATTAGGAGCCTTGCAAAGTTAGTTACATCAGTGACCTTCTAGAAGGAAGAACGAATCCCCTACTTGTTTTTCTCTTCTTTATGATTCCTAGAAGACAGATATCAGATGTCTTGCTCTTTGATTTTATCTTTCAGAAGTTTTATCATAGCCATTCTTATGTAGTCAAATACAAAGAAAACACAGAA